CTGGCATGGAGGGAGGCGAGTCGACGGCGTCGTCGGCGTAGTAGGCGTCGTCGTCCTCGGGAACGTCGGTCGGTTCTGGAACACCGTAGCTAAGAAGATCGGACTCGCAGTCATCTACATCAGCGGCGGGGCCGTTGGCGTCAGCCATTGGCTCATCAGCAGGCATCTGTGTGCGCAAAGAAAGTGTAAGGCGAAGGGTTAAGAAGTGTGATGTGCCACGCGCGCCTCAGGCGTGCGCGACACAGCCAAAAGGAGAGGGCGTAAAGGGTTGTGAGTGGTTGAGTGAGTGATTGTGTGCGAGTGCACCCCCCAACCGTCCGGCCCCGAGAGCGAGGAGAGCGAGGGGGCGGGCGGTTTGTTAGCTTAGTAGGGAGCGCATGAGTGGTGGATAAGAAAGGTGCATGCCGGGCATCGAACGGCTAAACCTCTGGCAGGCCGCTCTCTCCCCCGAGCTGGTGTGGGCCCTCCCGCTGTGGGTTGGCAGAACTGGCCAGCGGCACTACGACACTGGCAGGCAGGCGTGCGGACGGGGGCTGCACAACAACCCCTTTCCGCTGCAAGCGTTGCAGGCTATTAATCTCCCAGTCACCGTCGCTGTACGTCACCTGGAAGTAGTTGGGTCTGAACGTCGGCCCACGGAAGTGCAGGCGACCCCAATACCACTTGAGGCGGCGAGTGCGGGGCTCGTGGAACTGCTTCTTGACCAGGCGCCCGTGCAGGGCACGAGCTTCAGCGTCCTGGGCGGCTAAGGTGGGGTTGCTCGGCCTAGAGGAGCGTCCAGCCTTCCAGCAGGACACTGAGTGACGGCGACTGCCACTCTAGCTGTCTCGGGTTGGCCGCTGGCGGGGATGCATGGCTGTGTCTGCGTGGCTGTGTGGTTGTGACCCAACTGCCCCCGGTCTCCTCCCCAAGGCGATTGGCAGAAGGGTGATCAGACTCTGGCTTACACAAGATAGGGATCCATAGCAATGCAAGGAAAAGGGAAAGGGAAGGAGGCCGAGCAACTGCTCACGCAGTTGCAAGCGCGGCCTCAAATGTGGCGAGATCCAAGCGGCAGGCGGAAAGGCGGGTGGCGGCTCACCCTGCGGCTGCTGCGCGCCGGAGCTGGTTGCGCGTGACAGTGACGTGGCCATGCGCAGCGCGGCCTTGTCGCCTTCCGACGCCCCTGCTGACGCACACAGGGTGCCCCTCTGGCCGGTGCATGCCGAGGCGGCATTGCTACTCCATGCGCGGCGCCATGCCGACGATGCGGCGTACTTCGACCTCAGCACGTCAATGGCGGAGGAAGCGCCGGCCAAGGCCTCGTCGCTGGGGTCCAGGCCCTGGCCCCAGCACCCTGCCAGGCACAGTGCGAAAAGAAGGGTTGCGAGTTCCACGGGAGGGAGCGTCCGTGGTATCGCCATTTCAGCGAGCCTTACTCGGGGGCCTGCGGCCGCGGAATCTTGGCCAATGCACTGGTGACACACACACACCGACGATGAAAGCGTGGTTGTTGTGATTCAAAAGAGGCTGTGTGGTGGCCCCGCAACTCGCACACAGGCGAGTGGGTGGCTACCGCTGCAAGGAAGGTCTTGGGCACCCCATCGGGTGCCGCTTGTGCTTGGCACTACGGTGCAGCGCGTCTGAAGCATGAAGTAAAGCTTATGAAGAGCAAATTTATCCGCATCAAACAACTACCGCACATGCTCACTTGCGGCGAAGTGCTGCGCTTGACACTGCAGCCGTGCCACCTCAAGCGGTTGGCGGCTCAACTGCGTGCAGCAGTGATCTAACATTGCAGACTCCGCATCTCTCTGCACCAAGAACAACTGGACAGGGTATGGTGGGATGTTAGCTCTCAACAATCTGCTCCCTACTGCATTGACCCCTGTCCTATCGCTGTCGAATCTTGCAACAGCTGAGAAAACGTGTCTGTGTGTGTCTGGCTAGCACGTTGCCCTTGTGAAACACAAACATCTGACTTTTTGGACACTCTCTGAGCCCAATAGGACACATTGGCCCGAGCTCAGTGCCTGTCCTGCAGCATGCTAATTTTCATATTGGAAATTCAACAGGCAATCATGGCCGGTCACCATATGCATCGGGATGCACCCTTGCGCTTTGACCATGTCATTCTGGCCATGACACTGTTGACAGTGCGTGGCAGATCGGTTTCAAGGACAGGAACGAAAGGATTGATACACGCCCCGCAGTTGCCCGCTTCTGGAGCCATCCATGCTTATGGGGTTGCAACAGTCATTCAAGGAACATGATGCCGCAAAAGCGAAGCACGCTGGTACTTGCGGAGCAAACAATTTTCTTGATAATCCATAGCGGCCGTCCGCCCTCGGCGCCAACGCGGCGCATACTCAGAGCTTCGGCGCCAGCCTGGTTCCCGCCCCATGCCCTTCCTGCCAATTGTTTGACCTGGGCGGCCGTCCGAACTCGGCATCACATTGTGCCTCTGAAGCATAGACGCCGGCGCGCCGTCGAGCGCCGTGCGCCGTGCCGTCGATCGCCATGCGCTGCGCCGTCGAGCGCAAGTCAATGCACATCACATGCGAAGGAATGGCTCGAGGACCTCCTGCAAACCAGGGCAATTACAAGTTGCCGGTTTGCCAGAGAGGGTGCTTTGCAGCCTCCAGTACAATAGCAAGAGCGGCGTGTGTTGTTTTGCATGAACAACCGCTGCCTGCCCGCTTGACTGCCGTGCTGACCGTGCTGCACTAGACTTCTCATGCATACAAGCTGAATTGAACCTTGTAACCCTGCTGCCTTTTGTGGTGCGCGCGCTGCCTCGAGCGGCAGCAAGCAGCAGCGGGAATGCTCCCCTTCTTGGGGTTGCGCCGGACGGCGCGAAGTCTTTGGAATCATGCAGCAATTTTGAACCGCTCGACCCCGCTGAGCGTGTCCGGCGGCAGCGAGTGCCAGATCGTTCTCCGCGCTTCCTTGCCGGAGCGGGCATTTAATTCTTCAGCAGCGGCCTTACAGGCTCTTAAACCCGTTACTCCCGAGGAGCAAAAGAAGCTGGGGCGCATTCGCAACATCGGGATCAGCGCGCACATCGACTCCGGCAAAACGACCACCACAGAGCGCATTTTGTTCTACACGGGACGCATTACAGAGATCCATGAGGTGAGCGCGGTCGCAGCCGTGTTGACATCACACACCCGTTGTCACCCGCCGCCACGCCCGCCGCTCGCGCTGCACCGCCACAGCCCGCCGCCGGCCCCAACAATGCTCGGCCGCCCGGCGCCGCCGCCCCCCGCGCCCGCTTGTCCGTCGGCGCCAGGTGCGCGGTAAGGACGGCGTGGGCGCCAAGATGGATCACATGGAGCTCGAGCGTGAGAAGGGCATCACGATCCAGAGCGCAGCCACCTACTGCCGCTGGAAGGACACCCAGATCAACATCATCGACACGCCCGGCCACGTGGACTTCACCATAGAGGTGCGGCGGAGACATTCACGTGCAATTGAACAGCAGGGCACGATGTAGAATACAGATATGGTGTGCAGCTGCAGCGGTGGGGCGCCCTTGGGACTCCCACGGCGCTCACCAGCGGACACATCACGCCATGGGCGGCAGGGGTAACTCGCACAAGCAGGGTTCGTAATCGCCCCGGGATTCCCTCGTCACGTCCAAGCCCTGCACGCGAGGCGCAGCGGACGGCGCTCCTCAGTCACGGCGCGGCGCTCACCTGCCCCGCCC